AGCCTCCACACTGCCAGACCCGGCAGTGACGTCATTCGTACCGACCCGACATAGCAGTGACGTGATGCGAACAAACCCAACACGGTAGTGACGTCATATGTCACTACACATATATACAGGGTGACCCATTAATTTATGCAAATTATATGATGATGATGCTTTGACAATGGTGCACAAGCCCAGATGACAAACAACAACAACAACAACAACCGCCATTCGCCACTAAGTGGCGGTGACGTCACCACGACGCTTGTGCCAGGCCATGTGCACCTTGAGGCCACGTGAAGTGTCGAATGCCCGCTGGCAGGAGGTCACGGGGCAGACCCAGGTGCCACGGGTCGACTGACTGAGATGACCGAGATGACTGGCTGATGCACCACCTGTGCCCCCTAGTGTGCCAACTTGCTGTGCTTTAGCCACCCTGCACAAAAATCTAGCAGCCTCCTACCGTTGTTATTGAGCTGATCTGGCCCATGCCTTCCAATCACTCCAGACCAGGTGCCAGCATCATGACCAACTCGGGCATTGAAGTCACCCAACAAGATGACTCTGTCCCGAGTGGCCACTTTAGCCAGCACCTGTGACAGGAGGTCATAGAAGGCATCCGACTCATCGGCTTTGCCTGCATCCCTCCATGGATGTTCGTCTTCGGTGGGGGCATAAGTAACCACGACCATCACTCCTCGCCTCCGGTTGATGGGAAGGTGAGCCCAAAGTAGCCTGGGGCTTACAGCTTCCCACACCTCACCGCCACGCTTCCACGCCCCCTTCATTCTTTTGTTCAGAAGAAGAGCCACACCCTGTTGTTTGGCAGTCTCCTGCCCCGAGTAGAGGACTGTCCACCCCTCATGGTGGCAGGAGCCAGAACCGGTCCACTGGACCTCCTGAATGCCACAGAGATCCAGGCGGTACCGGTCCAGCTCCTGGCAAAGGAGTGGCAACCTCTCCTCCGCAGTGAGCGTTCGAACATTCCACGTGGCCATCCGTAGTGGCTTTTCGTTGTTTCTAGAGAAGCCCTGTGGGTGAAGATTCATTCTCCTGGCTCTGCAAATTGGGGTTTGGCCAGGAGACGTCATAGACGCCTGTCCCCCCGGGGCCTCCGGCACAAGCTTATTAGTTACATATTTATGTTTAAGTCGTAGTTTCGTGGTAATGAATTGAAGGTGGAGGGGTTACCAGCCCCTCGCACCCATCCAGAGCTTCTGTTTAGCCACTGTGGTGGTCACAGACGTCATGAGGGGAGAGGGCCAATGGGCATTGGCCCTCCTCCCACAGCACTGTCCACGACAGAGTTGCCCGTCCGGCACCGCGAGAAGATAGGGGGTTGTTTTGCCAGATGACAAACAGCCCCTCACTCACACTCGTCAACATCACTGCCTAAAAATGAAATGAAATGTCATCAGTGACGCTTTGGCAATGGGCCTCCTTCATTGTTGATGTGCTTTGAAGTGGGGCCATTGCCAGAAATGTCGCCGATTTTCAAAATATGTAATTATTTCAAAGAAGTGTTTTTGACGTGTGTGAGCGGGGTGTTTTTTTTTCCATTTATGGATACACATTATAAGGTGATACTGCATTGGCAGTGGTACAAAACACAATGCATAAACTCAACACGCTCATCAAGAACACTGGTTTAAAAGGTAAACGTCACCATTATCATTCATAGATACCACATTTATTTATATGTATTATGACCCATTTCCTTCCCAACGGGTGACTGGATATTGTGAAAACGATGGCTTAAAATATCACGTAGCAGTATGTTAAAATATTGAATTCGTGTCGTATTGAGATTGGCGGGAGATGTTTATCAGCTTTCAAATAAAATTCTGATCTCCCTTTATAATTTCTCAATACGGAGCTATTTTAACGGGGTACCTATACATTTCGCAACCTGTAATTTCAGAAAAAAGGTGTAATATCAGAAGAATAAAGGTATTTCTACTCGTATATATATATTTTACAGAATATGTACTCATTGGAACCTAGGTTATAGCGCAAGGAAAATATTTGGTTGACATTAGACCTTTGAGAAATGAATTCCAATTTTTCATGTGCATATGGTATTGTAAAAAAAAAGATATGATCTAAGAGTGGAATTTACCAACTTCAAAATGAAAACAAACCCCGTACGCTTCTTAGAAGGCAAATTAATTGTCAAATTATATTCAACCCCACTTATTTATCTTCTAGGTACACATCTAAGCAACTGTATCTGACAAGCCTAAAGCTCTATTAGGCCAATGTTGGAATGTTGCTAGAACCATTGACTCAACGTAGGTCCAACGTTGCGTGTTCACTGGATAATTTTCAGCACTTATTGAGTTATCATACATGAAGCTTCAGACTCGCACTGGACAGCCCAGTGCACACAGCCTGTGTGTATAGCTCAACTGCTTGATACAATTAAGTTGTATTAAATAGCCGACTGCCCATTGTTTCAACTGCAGCGCCAGGAGATTGGTAAACATTCATGCACACACGCGGGTTAGGATTATCCTGCAGTAAAGTGGGCAATTCATTGCCCAGGTGTTGAAATAATGCTCGTGGAGTGAAGGTTATTTGCGACAAGATGTTACTGAAATGCATTATTTATAGATATGTATGCAAGCGTGTAGACGCTGATGGGAAAACAAATTGTCGGGCTAAATTAATCTGCCATTCATGTATTCACCCGGCTGCTTAATTGCAATGCGAATGCAGTCTTCTATTAGCCATCTTGTGAGCGAGCGCGTGGATAATGGACATCGTGATATTACTCTCACGTTGCAGCCACTTTTTTTAGGGAAAATACACATTATTCATTTAAATTACTATCATGCTCTTATGTCGACCATAAGTGCGCGTTATGAACTAACACTCACGTAATGGGCAATATACGGGTGATCCGTGTAGAGTAATCCCACTAGCGAGGCTTGTTTGATATGTTGTGCCAGTCCATTACACATGCATGTGGCATGTGGCAGAAAACGTGAATGAAGAATGGGTATTCCAAATGAATATTAGCGAGAATGTATAGAGATGGAAACATTTTACTTGGAAAACCGATACATGTCTCCCACCAATATTAATGAACAAACATAATCTTACCCTCTCTCAGTCTCGCCTGTCGCGTAAGTGGCGATGGCTTTCACAGTGCTTAACCACTTGTTGAGAACAAAGAGGTTCCCCGTTCAGGGATGAGTGGATATCTAAAAATGGATCACCCGCTCTTCGTCAATCTTGATAGTCGTCATTAGTCTGTTTCTTGAGAAGACGTGCAATGAAAGTTTGTTTTTAAACGTGCTTTTAGCGCATTTGCAGACGAAATGTGTCGTTCGAATGACACAACGGCCCTATTAATGGATGCTTGTTTTAAAAAACCGCTCATTCGCCACGCGTAGCGGTTACCTCTCAAGAGTCCCTCACTGCCTGCAACTCTTCGCGAACGCCATCATCAGGTGCGGGCAACGTGTGCAGCATCTTCAATTGGATACGGAATTGAAAATTACGTAGGTAAGTTGACCACGGTTCTGTTTTTCGCCGCATAGACGTGCATTGTTTGTCGTAGACTATCGACCTCTTGCCCTTCTAGTCTCGTGTTAACGAGCGAAGGGGTATTTGTTTAAAAACGAAAAGTCTGTAACGCTTTCATCGATCCCTAGCATGGGTCTCATCAGCAGATCATGGCTCGCGAAATAAATCCTGCTGGCTCATCGGATAGGAATGGTAACATAACTCCCTCTAAAATCACTGGCTCTATCGGCGCACGCAAAATAATGCAGTACTTAAAAAAATGTGTGTGTTTGGGTTGGGGGGTCCTTGAACCCACTGGAGTTTGAGAGACACGGAGGACTTCGCGTAACTGGACCACTCTGCTCGTGACATCGCGTCCCACGCACGCAGCTTCACTCACACGTGAAGATCACTCACACGTGCAGCACCAATGACAAAGACCCCCCCCCCCCCATGGTGGCTTCACAGACTGTAGGAGCAAGTACTGTTAGCGAGCACCTATGAAGTCCGGCACGGCGCAAGAGGGAGTGAGTGGTCAACACCACGCACGGCCGCCTTTGTCTCCCTGGTGGTGATGTTTACCAAACCGCACCAGATTCTCATTTGAGACTGAGTCGACCTAGAGGAGGCTCAGAACCGGTTCAGATAATCGTCACTGGTGTTGGCCGTGAGCGGGAATCGAACTTGGGTAACCGGGTTTACGTGCAGTGTGCTCGCCGCTGCACTTCGCTCCCCATAATCCAAAGTGCAGCAACGATCGCATGCAGCACCACTCACGCGTGCAGCATCAATCACACGTGCAGGTCACTCAAATGGGCAGCGCCACTCACCACGTGCAGCGCCACTCACGTGCAGCGCCACTCACCACGTGCAGCGCCACTCACCACGTGCAGCGCCACTCACCACGTGTGGCATCACTCACCATGTGAAGCATCACTCACCACGTGCATCATCACTCACGACAGTGCAGAGCCACTCACCACGTGCATCATCACTCACCACGTGCATCATCACTCACCACGTGCATCATCACTCACCACGTGCATCATCACTCACCATGTGCGGCATCACTCACCACGTGAAGATCACTCACCACGTGCGGCATCACTCACCCCGTGTGGCATCACTCACCACGTGCATCATCACTCACCACGTGCATCATCACTCACGACAGTGCAGAGCCACTCACCACGTGCATCATCACTCACCACGTGCATCATCACTCACCACGTGCATCATCACTCACCACGTGCATCATCACTCACCATGTGCGGCATCACTCACCACGTGAAGATCACTCACCACGTACAGCCTCACTCACCCCGTGTGGCATCACTCACCACGTGCATCATCACTCACCACGTGCGGCATCACTCACACCGTGAAGATCACTCACCACGTACAGCCTCACTCACCACGTGCATCATCACTCACCACGTGCATCATCACTCACCACGTGCGGCGTTAGTCGCGTAACATCGCTCGCAATCTGCAGCATCACTCACCTGTGCAGGTCCTCCACAACCCCATGTGCGTGAGTCCGAGTTCTTCTCGCTTATCGATTTCCAGCTGCTCCCCGAGGCCGGACGTGTCCATGATGTACCAGTAGTCAGTGCCCACGGACAGGGCGAGCAGCACGAAGCTGGCGATGCCGCACAGGGCGGCGAACTCCACCAGGAGCGTGGCGTTCTTACACGGCCTCATCCCCACCGAGAGGGCAGGTTGCTTCTCGAAGGCGCAGCAGCTCAACCTCGTGCAGGAGGGCAACAGCAGCTGCTGCTGCTGATGTTGATGCAGCTGCTAATGCCCCCTCCACACACACACGCGCTGGGGTGGAGACTTAGCGAGGAGTGGGAGGGGAGAGGGAGGGAGGTGACGGAGAGAACCAAGGGACAGAAAGAAATGTCTCGAAATGTAAAACAACAAAAAAGAGATCAAATTAATGGGTGCATGTCTAACTGGTGACATTGGTGAAATGACGCGGTTCCGTGAGTGAGGTCACAACAGGTCTCCTGATTACCGTGACTGTAGTTTTACGGATTCAATGTAGAATAGATAGAGCTCGTTAGTAACGGGGAAAGAGATTAGGGACGTTGCGAGCAGGTGGATATCATCGTGAACCAAAGATGAAAAATGAGGGAGTGGAGGTGATGGGAGCTGGGGGGAGTGGAAGAGAAAGAGAGATTGGAGGTGGTGGGACCTGGGGGGAGAGTGGAATAGAGAGAGAGATTGGAGGTGATGGGACCTGGGGGGAGAGTGGAATAGAGAGAGAGATTGGAGGTGATGGGACCTGGGGGGAGAGTGGAATAGAGAGAGAGATTGGAGGTGGTGGGCACACGGGGGGGGGGGAGAGAGTGAAAGAGAACAACAACAAAAACAACAACAATAACAACAACAAAAAACACTCCTCAAATACCAAACAAGAACATAATTTCCGTGCAACATTCAAGCATGCGCACGCAGCTCATGGGGCACGCAGCGCCGGCTGAAGCGGAGTGAATTCCGGAGGCGATGGCGAAATGGGTCCGGAGAGGCGCGAGGAATCGTCTCTGCGTCCCGCGGAGGAGCGCTCCGTCACCCAACGCTGCTGACATCCCTCTGCAGACAAAGGCAAAGATCCCCCGTGTAGCCTCACCAGACCGTAGGAGCAAGTTGCTGTGAGCGAGCGCCCACGAAAAAGGCCGGCACAGCGCACGAGGGGGCGGGTGGCCGGCATTGCACCCTGCCGCCTTTGTCTCCCCGGTGGCGATTCTTTTTTTTACACAACGCACCGGGTGCTCATTTGAGGCTGAGTCGACCTAGGGATGAGGCCCAGGACCGGTTCAGATACTCGTCGCCGGTGTCGACCGTGTGCGGGAGTAGAACCCCGGGTGGCGAGGATTCGTCGAGCGGGGACGCTGAACCGCCGCTCCCCCCCCCCCCAGGTTCCTCGCCGAGCCCGCGCACACCCAGCACCACCCAGCACAGCACCACCCAGCCCAGCACAACCCAACACCACCCAGCCCAGCACCACCCAGCCCAGCACCACCCAGCCCAGCACCACCCAGCACAGCACCACGCAACACAGCACCACCCAGCCCAGCTCCACCCAGTACCACCCAGCCCAGCACCACCCAGCACAGCACCACCCAGTCCATGCACCACCCAGCCCAGCACCACCCAACACAGCACCACCCAGCCCATGCACCACCCAACACAGCACCTCCCCCCAGCACCACCCAGCACAGCACCACCCAGCCCAGCACCACCCAGCACCACCCAGCCCAGCACCACCCAACACAGCACCACCCAACACAGCACCTCCCCCCAGCACCCCCCAGCCCAGCACCACCCAGCCCAGCTCCACCCAGCACCACCCAGCCCAGCACCACCCAACACAGTACCACCCAGCCTATGCACCACCCAACACAGCACCTCCCCCCAGCACCACCCAGCCCAGCACCACCCAGCCCAGCACCACCCAGCCCAGCACCACCCAGCCCAGCACCACCCAGCACAGCACCACCCAGCACCACCCAGCCCAGCACCACCTCAGCACAGCACCACCCAGCACCACCCAGCCCAGCACCACCCAACACAGCACCACCCAGCACCACCCAGCCCAGCACAACCCAGCACAGCACCACCCAGCCCAGCACCACCCAGCACCACTCAGCACCACCCAGCCCAGCACCACCCAGCCCAGCACCACCCAGCACAGCACCACCCAGCCCAGCACCACCCAGCACCACCCAGCCCAGCACCACCAAGCACAGCACCACTCAGCACCACCCAGCCCAGCACCACCCAGCTCAGCACCACCCAACACAGCACCGCCCAGCCCAGCACCACCCAGCACAGCACCACCCAGCACAGCACCACCCAGCCCAGTACCACCCAGCCCAGCACCACTCAGCACCACCCAGCACCACCCAGCCCAGCACCACCCAGCTCAGCACCACCCAACACAGCACCGCCCAGCCCAGCACCACCCAGCACAGCACCACCCAGCACAGCACCACCCAGCCCAGTACCACCCAGCCCAGCACCACTCAGCACCACCCAGCACAGCACCACCCAGCCCAGCACTATTCACTATTCAGCACCACCCAGCCCAGCACCACCCAGCCCAGCTGACATTCCTCCCTGCGTTGCCTTGAGATGCACCGAGAGAGGGGACGCTGAGCACAAGTTTGTCATCATACTGCATGGCAAGCGCTTCCATGCAGAGCGAGTGTGCGTGTGCAATATCGTTCGGCTAATGCGGTGATTGTTCATCTTTGCTGCAGCCTTTTGTACCCCTTTGGTTCTCGATTTTTTAGTTTAAAAGTATAATGTTGATAAATGCAAAGGGTTTGACGAATCAAAGTAGTTGTACCTACGTGCCCGTGCTGAATTTGTGTTTCGAGGATTTACCTTCAAAATGAAATCTGGAATGCCTTACACCCCCCCCCCCCCCCAGAAAGGGCATCTCGCACCCCCAAGCGGTTCGTTCACCCCGGGCAATGGTTCTTAAGAACCACTGGGTTCTTAAGAACCACTGGGTTCTTAACCTGAGGAGTGATTGTGCAGTGGTTTCCCACCATGAACTCGGCGACCTGAGTTCGATTCCTGTCTACCACTTACAGCGTTATTATAACACTTATAATTGTTATAACACTCATAATTATTGTACCACTTATAATAAGGCCACGATGGCGAGATGTAAACTGCCTACCCTGGTGTGAAGGAGGCCGTGGGGTCAAGCCAGATCCTGACGCCTCTTGTATATTTGGAGTTTTGCGTGTCTGCGTGTTCTTCCCGTGGTCGAGTGGATTTTTCTCCGGGTCCATCGGTTTTTTTTCGCTTCACATTTTTATATATTTTTTTAATGCGTTTAGAACGGTTGGCTACGTACGGTGCGAAAGAAGTTAAACATACATACATAACTGGTCCTGCACCCCACCACCATCGCTCCCCACTAACTCACACTGACCAGCGTGGTGAAGTATGGTTAAATAGCCTCCAAGACCGGCACAGCGTGGGGAGATCTTCATTTGTCATTGGATTGAAAAAAAAAGCCGTACATGTATTTTTCAAATTAAACTGGATATATACACTGCGATTTGACTACCTGGGTAAAAAAAAATCCCCAGCTGTAAAGATACACATTTACATTTTTATTTGAAGCTTTCGTGACTGCAGGAATCCATACTCTTTGGTTCTTTCGGTAAAGTCACGTAGGTAGAAAAATAAAATAAATCACGACGTTAAGGGCGCAACACAAGCGTCCACTTTCCCACCTGATGACGGACGCTTGATTGATTTTATTTTATACCTACGTGACTTTACCGAAAGAACCAAAGAGTATATATATTTACATTTACTCAGCGCTAAAGTACCGAAACACCTGAGAGAACTTGACAAACAGTGCGAAGACACGAGTCGACAAGGGCCAGCAAAGGAAACGAGTAAAGACCCCGAGACATGACACAACCAAGGGCGCAGGGCAGTTACACATCAGTGGAGAGCAGCGCGTCAACGCGTCTTGACACCCCCAGGAGCTCGACCTGGCCTTGAATGAATTACCGAATTCTCGTGACGCACGTGTCAACGTCAACGCAGGGAAGACAAAGGCCACCGGATGTGGCTCTGACAATTATAACACCACCCACACCTTTGTGCGCCGTTCCCTTTCTTAATAGGTGCACGCTAATAACACGGTGGTATTGTGTCAACTACCTCGCCAGGTATGCAGGAGGCCGTGAGTTCGTTCCCGACCCCAACCCTGACGACTGCATTTTTGGAGTTTGCGTGTCTCTCTCCCCGTGGTCGCGTGGATGTTTCTCCGGGTCATGCGGAGTTTTCCCTCGACTGCTTAGAAACATCCGTTTGGAGTATTTTGCTGCTATAAAATTCTACATGGTCAGTCACTTCGTTGAGCTATCGATTGTGGCCAGGTCTCTTCTGAAACAAAGGTATGTAGCTTAGTGGGCCTTACCTGGTCAAGTAAACATAGTTCAATTTTATCGTTTAATCTCTACAGCGATATGGAGATCTTTGTCGTTTTGTGTATGCGTCGTTGATACCTACAGCTCCTGATCGTGTGTTGTGCTGGCCCTTAATAGGTTCGTGCCAACATAGCCTAACGTCACTTGCCCCTATACTTTATGAGGTTAAATGGAGGATGTTCTTCCGCCTGATGACAATTGCTTGCATTGCGATAGAAACGTCGAGATCTATTATTTTTTCTACCTACGTGACTTTACCAAAATAAATTTCGATTGAAAGCTTTCGTGACTGCAGGGATTCATCTTCTTGGTTCTTTCGGTAAAGTCACGTAGAATGGAAATAATAAAATGATAAAAATAGAACATAATAAAATAATTCTCACGACGTTTCGGCCACAACGCAAGCAGCGGTCCTCAGGTGGAGAACAGGTCTGTCGAGAAAACAGAGTCTGAATGACACACCGAAATAACCAGAGTATTGATTCCTGCAGTCACGAAAGCTTCAAATCAAGATTGGAGGATGCTGTCCTTGATTAATAGGCACAATGGTACAGCAGGCCACGCATTAAAAAAATAGTCATGCAGAGGAGAAACAAAATGATTGACAAGTTCTGTATCTAATAATAATGGCTTCAGCATTGGCCAGTGTAAGCATGTCGTGATTATGTTTCACTTAAACTCACAAAAGGCTAACGGCAGAAACTCATTACACCGGTAGCATGCAAGCTATAGGATTTCGCTTCACGTTGTGCTAATATTCTGATTCCGTGTTTGCCTAAGGTTTATTATGCTAACCTGACAATCCTACCAGTGTTCAAAATAACTTGTCCTGTTAATGTTTCAACGTTTCTGCTTCTCTAAATCTATTTTTTTAATTTAAATGAAAATAAATTGTTTTCTGCAAGGAGAGTATTTGCTTGCATTGGAGTAAGATTCTTCTATGTATGTTTCCAAGGCAACTTCTCATGCTCATTGCCTGGTGGTACACCCTCAAAGGCATTAAGTGATACAATTACAATACCGTTGCAGGGTAAGTAATACATTTTGTAAGTGCAGCCAAGATATTTTGTAAAAATACATTTGATGAACTCTTCAGGAATAAAATGTAAATTTGTTCTGCGTCATTAACATATTAAATTAATTATTTTGCAAAGACATGGCTGTAGTGTAGAAGATGAATCCCTGCAGTCACGAAAGCTTTAAATCGAAATTTAATGGCTGTAGTTGTCTATGAGGACTTAAACCCACTATGGTCTTGGCACATACAGACATCAAATTGGTTATTTATATTTTATTTATATATATAAAATATAGTACCCAGAAAAAAATCCATG